ATCTCTTAATTTTTTTTTCATTTCGATATCTGATTTTAAAACCCAACCCTCTCTCCTCTATTTGTTTGTAAGTTGTAACAATATATTATCTTTTTAAAATGTTAAATTCGCAAATATCTTATTTTCGTAATTAGTAAACTATCATTTTGTTTTTTCTAGTAGTAAAAAGAAAACATTAAAGTCACTAAACTTTCATAGAATAACAAATCAATGATGGCAATAGTTGGTAAACGGTGATAAGTGACTTTTTCCATCTATTTTTTCCCCTTTTGTTGGTGAAATAAAATAAGATAAAATGACATCAAATATAGAAACTCCATTTTGACTTTCATATAACTCTTTAATTTAGAATTTAAAGCATAACTACCATACATTTAAAACTAATATTTCTTTTAGTATATGGTGGAATCGAAATATAAATTCAACGACATCAATTATAATGATTTTGTTACAATAAAGAAGAGAATATGTTATAAGATGTGCCTAATTGGATAATTTGAATTAGATATTCAAAGTCCAGCTAACAATGTTAAGTTTTGTAGGTAATTAAGTTCACCAAGAAAAAATTTAAAAGAATCAAAGCAATTATATATTTGTGTTTTTGAAGTATTCAAAAATAATAAAGCTTGAGAGACTTTTTTGGTCAAATTTCTTCCCTATTTCAATTTTTTCGAAAGAAAAAAAAATCGAAGTACTTTTTTATTTGTGATTATTTTTTCTCATTTGTTGGAGGATTAATTAATCTTTTTCCAAATGAAACAAAAAACAATTGGCATAACAGTGTATGTTTTTCTTCAATCGCTATAAAATATAATAGTATTTTTATATTAATAAATTAATAAATAATGCGCAACGTAACACTAATATACAGTATTAAGAGATAAGAAGGCAAAAATATGATTAAAAAATAAATAATAAAGTGACTTAAACATGCATCAAGGGGACACACAGCCCCTCCGTTTAGTTTTTATTTATAAATATTTTACAGTTTAAATTTCTATATTAAAAAAAATATACGAAAAATAATACTATAAATTGAAATCTTTCTCATGTTAATTTAATGAAAAAAATATGATTTAAAATATTAATATTTTTTTATAATTTAACTCTCAAAAAATAAAAAAAAATATAACTAAAATTAAAATAGGGCTTGGCAGGGTGATGTAAAAGTTAGCCTTAACCCGTTAAAATATTGATCAACGTGTCTTACGTACTTTATCCATTTTAAAAAAATTGATCTAATTTGATTTGAAACGAAATTTTAACAAATAATTAATTTTATAATTTTAATTTAAAGTTACAGTCAAATGCATCAGATACCCTTTATTTTGCCTTATTATTACTGTCTCACTGACAAAATAGTTAGAATTATTGGGGTGTTTCACACATTTTATGGAAAGATAAATATGACATAAGTTAAATATTACTTTTCCATTTTTTGCCCTTATTAATTATTGGCAAATTAATCTTTAGAATAATTTTAAGCATTTGAAGTGTTTTTAAACTCATCACACACAAAATTCAAATAAAAAGTAAAAATGAAATAATATTTTAAGCAGGTATTTTGCCATGCGATATCATATAAAGATATGAAATTATGATATGAAATCAGTGTTGGACATGCGATTTAAGCTGATTCCATCTCATGATTTCATATTCTTCAAATTAAAATCATGATATGAAAATTTTATATCATGATTTGAGATATTTTTAATTAAAAAATTGATCTACAAGTTTATATTTTGTTAAAATAACTTCACACTTTTGTCTACTAACCATTTATTTTATATGTAAATAAAATTTATAACAAGATCATTACTTTTTAAAATTTATTATTCTCACCGACATAAAACTTATTATTCTCATCAATATATAGTCAATTTAACTCACATGTCACACCAATTGATTGTTGAGTATTAAAGACTAGCACACTACAATTTATGTTCAATTTTTTTTATTGAATTAAAGTTAAATGAAACATTTACTTAATTAGAGAACAAATAGCAATGTAACAATTTATTATGCGATTTTATAATTTTTTATTTATTTAATAAGATTAAATTAATAATTAGCGCTATTTTAATAGTTTTACAATTTATGGGTTCTTATGTTTATGAGAAAATATACCAACACTAAAATTTTATATCACATAATTTCATATTATGTTATCATATCATAATATCATATCGCATGGCCAAACGGATTCTAAAAATAGTTTTAAATATTGAACAATTATGTAAAGTTAAAATATGAAAAATATCTTAACAATTTAATTATTTTAAACAAAAAAAATAATATTTGATAAAGCGTTTTGACATTTTGACCTTTAAATGAATATAATATTCCCAGAGTTATACTTATGGGAGAATAATATATATTTCGTATGGCTAAGTCAGAGGTGGTGGCTGGTTAGGTGTGATTAGATTAAATTAAAGACACTGATTAAGCAAAATGAAACTATTAATTTAGTAATATAATTATAATTATAATATTATAAAAGCCCCAACTTGAGTTTTTTTTAACATATGTTTGTCTGTCGGTAGAATTTACCTGAGTGGAGTCTTGTCAAAATTTTTATTTACGTAAATATCTTTTTTTTTTTCGAATATTAAATTTATTATTATTGTTTACAATTTTTTAAATGGCACGAACATAAGAGGACTTGTAGTTGTGACTAACAAACCTTGTGTATGATAACCAACAAAGATTGATGTTATAGAAACAGTAAGTCAGAAAATAGATGAAGCATGTGAAAGAAAATTGAACTCACAATTTGTTTGTATCTTTAAAAAAATTTACGCAATAAAATAAATTATATTATTTAATTATTCATCATAGTTATAGTTTGTTATAATTGTCCCTCGCGACTAACATTATACATTAATTACGTAGGCTGACTTCGACTTTATATAATTAGTCATGTTCGTATATGTATAATTCGCAAGAATATACAAATATCTATGTATAATATACAGTTATTTAACCTATATACACATACAATTCACCTCTCTCCCTCTCTTACCCTCTCTCGCTCGCCACTCTCCTCCCTCTCCCAATCTCGCTTTCTACAAATATCTATGTATAATATACAATTATTTAACCTATATACACATACAATTCACCTCTCTCCCACTCTTACCATCTCTCGCTCGCCTCTCTCCTCCCTCTCCCAATCTCGCCTTCTCTATATACAAATGTATATGTATTTATTATATACATATATAATTCACTTATCTCCCACTCTTTGTCCCCTCTCTCGCCTCTCTCCTCCCTCTCTCAGTCTCACTCGCCTCTCTTCTCCCTCTCCAATCTCTGTTGTCAAATATACAAATACATATGTATAATATACAATTATCTGACCAATATACATATACAATTCACCTTTCTCCCACTCTTTTTCCCCTCTCTCTCCCAATCACTCGCCTCTCTCCTCCATATAATTGTAGCTACAAATTGTAATTATCAAACTATAGCTATTGGAGAGTAATTAATTATTTTTAATTGACTATATGTGAAAGTTTTCTTTAAAAATTTTAATCATTCTACTATCATTCAAGGTTTATGAATTAGTTTCTCTCATGGTAGAACGAAAATCTATTCTGTAAAAGTGGTAGTTCAACTTATAAAACCTAAACGAAATTAATTGATGAAAAATGTTATTAAAAGAGGGGAGAGTTTTCAAAAATACCCTCGGAGTTTATAGCCAATGATTTCTCAATAGGCGCATACGTGCGTGTTCATAAACTCTTTATGAGCTAGAAGATATGCTTTTACATTACATGTAAGCACAATTAAATCTCATTTCCCAATTTCATAGTTCAATTCATACTTCCATATTAAAAAAAATTAAAAAAAATCAAATTTGTTACACTCCAACAGTACTATGAGAGTTGATAAGAATGCAATATGACAAATGGTTTGGGTTGAATCCAAAATATTTTTTGATGTCCATAAGATCAGAGTAACAGGTTTTTTACCAAGCAAATCTTAATATTTTTAGCCAAGCGGTATATAACATGCAAATATGACGTTTATGTTTGCTAAACCTAAAATTTACTCTAAAAAGAATGATAATTGTTTGTAATTGTTATAGTGTATATTCTATGTATAACAAGTGTTTAATTAGTATATAATTGGTGTATATCATATACATGTTGTTTATACATAGAATGTACAGTAAATATATTCGCTAGAATCGTATAGGATAAAAGTTCATGATTATTTTTTGTTCAGTTTTCTTGCTGCTTATAGATCAATTTCGATCAAAATCCTGAGAAACATTATAACAATTCTAGCCTTACCAGCCATGTTACACAGTACAAGTAAAGAGTTGCCTAGACAAGAACATAAAAGAATAAATGCGGATTTAGGACAATAATACTTGATCATCATCAAATATTTATAAATATAAAGTCTAAACAAAAGATACTGAATTCAGGTGGATCCAAGAGTTAGAATCTAGATCCGGCTTTTTTCAAATTCTGTTATTTCAAGATAAGATTTGCAATGTAAGTAAAGAATACTTCCCAGACCATTAAGACAATTTCTCCGCAACAAAGGGAGACTTGGAGCAATAGGAAAGTTGTTTCAAATAATCTATTACTTATTGCTCAAACTAGATTCATACTGGAATTTACTCTGACATAGTGCAGGTCTAATAGCAAAAGTATTTCAGTTTTTTAACAGAAAACATTTCTAAGGCACACCAGACATACAAATATTTACTTCAGATGTCAATGATATTTGTGAGTAATATATTAAGAATTGAACCAGTGTGCCACTCACATCCACTGAGTGTTGTGGCCACAAAAGCCATTGCCTTTTTCTTTGTGTGTATTCGTCTCCAAAGCTACGGGTAAAACTAGTAAACCGACCTTTAGATGGGCTGCCCATCACGCCATCTTAATAGCTCTGATACTAGTTGTTTGTATTATCATGACGTAGTCATGATATTGTCTATAGCTTATATATATGGGACTTTGTTCACATACCCAACAACACAAATGCAAGTTGACAATTTATACAATCGCTTCTACTTGAAGCAAGTCGTGTAATGATTTTCTTTCGAGTTCATTGACAATCAACCAGAAAGAGCTGTGTATGTTAAAGAACAGAAGAGGGTGACATCTTGTTGCTATTATGCTAAACAGCCCAAAAAGGTTTAAACTTTGATTAACAATATAATGTTGTTTGGCTTTAAAAATAAGTACTAGAAAAATGTTACTGAAACTCTGTTGCTTTTGTGACTTTTGTGACTAATGCACTTCTAATAGAACATGCTACGGTTTTAGTTTCGCCAGGATTCGAACAACTCTTGCGTTTGTCAGGTGAATACTCATTCAAATCATCACAAAATGCTGAATAATCATCTCTTGATAACGACATATTATGAAGTATCGAACAAGCACCAATAGAAGCCACAACAGTCTTGATTTCTCCTTCAATAGGTTCGCGCAAAACACCCCAATTTCTCAAGCTCTGAACAGCTATAACTGATGGCAAACGCATTACGTTGATTGCATTGTTGAACTTCTCTTCATTTGATTGCGAAATAGGATCATCAAATGGTAACATTAACCAATTTAACAAAGGGTAATCTCCATTACCTACTAAAAACTGTGGCACACTCACTCCATTTATCTCCAAACCTTGTGAATTCGTAAAAATGGTTCCTTTTTCAATATCTTCGAACAGAGTTGATGAATTCAACACCTGGAAATCAGTCTTATCGCCGCGAAAACCGGCTATAATACTAATAATCCTGGAGGATGAATCAACCACTAATTGAGCTGCTATACTCTCTTCGTTAACCTTAAATCTTACACAACAGAGTACTCCACAGCAATTAGGAATACCCGAAATCGACTCGAATCGATTCGAAACAGATTCAAGCTCACCCGAATTCAAAAACCCAACCCAGAACCGGAAATTAGTACAGAGCACCCTACACAATTGTTTGAAACAAAACTTAGCAACAGATTCCGATACAGTAAATCTCCGAGAAACATCTGAGAAATTAGCTCCGGTAGCCAATCGGAAAAGCCCAATTCCAAGCCTAGTTTCCGCAGCTAGATTGAGTGGCGAATCAACGGGGTCACGACACTCTAACAGAGGCTCTAACAACCCGCAAAGCCAATCAAAAGTAGAAGAATTGATATTGAAGAATTTCTTGAAACAATCCGGGTTACGTCGGATGAACGAGTCGGGTCTGCCGAGTTTAAACCGGGTCAAACCCTCGCCTTCCGGTGCATCGAATTCTGAAAAATGGATACGCTTTCTCTTTCGCGAGAGAGTAGCGGCAGTTTCAGAAACAGAGAGAAAATGGAGAAGAAGAGGTGTAAGAAAATGAGATAAAGACGAATTTGTTATACAAAGAGGATTCGATGAAGGAAAAACGACTGTAATTAAAAGGAGTAATTGAGCAATTAGCGAAGAAAGCAACGCAGCTAAATTTCGAGGATTCATATTTGTAATTTTTATTTTTATTTTTGCTTTTTTCTTGATTTCAGAGCAAATCAAAAATGGCTTTTTCTTTGCTTCTGACAAGCTGATGAATCTATTATATCTCAATTCGTTGACAAAAGTACCAAATAAATTGGGTTTTCAACCTATTACAAATATACACGTGATTTTTATTTTTTATTCAACAAATATTCCAAATTCGTAAAGTTTATTCATTCGAGCAAATATACCTATTTAGTCCGATTGAAAATAATAAAAGAATATTTTTTTACTTATTTATTACTTTAAAAATAGATTTTTTTTCTTTCCATTTTTTACTTATTTAGAAAAGATAAATTCATGTTTTATCTTTAGCATTAATTAATTACTTATTTTCTAAGTAATATATACTCCCTCTATATCTTTTTACTAGTCTAATTTTAACTTTTTGCTTCTTATTTTTTTAATCAAGAAAAACAATATTATTTACTACTTATACTCTTAGAGTGTGTTTGGTACGAAGGAAAATATTTTCTAGAAAATGTTTTTCGATTTTCTCATGTTTGGTTGAGACAAAAGTTTTAGAAAATATTTTCCAAATCAACTCATTTTCCTCAAAATTAAGGAAAATGACTTCCCTTCAAAAATTAAGGAAAACATTTTTCAAAACTCTCCTCCAATTTCAAATTACATTTTTTTTCAAAAAACATCAATTTAAAAAAAATGTTTTTAATTTTAAAATTTTATTTTTTCACCTGATCCCGGATCTCCATCCACCCACCACCGACCAGCCCCCCAAACCCCACCCCCTCCCCCAAAAATTAATTTTACTTTTAAAATATTTTCAACTTTAATTTTTATTTTTAAACTCCTACCCCTCCCCCCACCCGGCCAGCCCCCTACCCACCCCCTACCAGCTCTCCACCCACCCCAACCCCAAAAAATTAATTTCATTTATAAATTAAACACACAAAAAATTTTGCTACTCACCAACAAAACATGAGAAAATAAATCCAAAATCTACGTTTTCCAGGGAAACATTTTCCATGGAAAATATTTCCTTCATACCAAACACACCCTTAATTAATTTAAATAGTTAATATTTTTTGCAAAAAGATAAAACCTTTTTAATGAATATGTCGGTTTTGGAATTAAATTAATTAACAAAAATAAAATGATAAACTCACCGTGTCAATTTTTTTTTATTTGAGATTGACTCATTTGTTTATGAGCTTGTCAGATGTGTTTTTCTTAAAAATTTGTCAAAACTAGGGGTAAGTTTATGTCAACTTATAATAAAAAATGTATATTCGAACAAAAATTATAATTGAGGAAATATATTTGAATTAAAAATATAGAAAAGAATATGTTTAAACTATTTGGTATACTATAAGAGTATATTTAATCATTTTCTGTATAATCAAATATAATTCCACTTTTGTTTCTAAAGATTTTAGCATAATCAATTTTAAACGCCTTTTAAATTTCATTTTTTAAGAAGATTTTTGCGACTCCTGAATATTTCCCACAAAGGGAGGATACCCCAAGATTTACATTCCATTTTCCACGAGGAAAAAAATCAAATTTATCCTCAAACAATTCATTATATTTTATTTTGCTCTGTCTATTATTATATTGTTTAAATAAATATATAAAGATCATCTATTTTAGTAAATAAATTTATTAATAATAACTTATTTTTAATAAAAATGACTTTACGAAAGCATTTAACTAAAATCAAATCTCCACTTGTGAAGCAACTTTTTGTTTGGACCATTTTTGCAACTATTTTTAGTTTTTAATGTTGGCCCTCTATTTGTGCATTTTAATTCCTGCTACAAGAAGTATAATCCATTGGCACCCATGGAAGCCATCAAGCCAAATTGTATTGATTTAATAATTTATATGATAATATTTGAATATTAATACAAAACAAAATGTCATTCTTTATTTAGACTAAAAAAATATAAAGGTGAGACATCGATTGAGAATATAAAATACAACATAATGTTCCACTTGATTCGGATGTTAAATATAATCAAACTTATCCGAAATTCAATTAGCACTAAAGAGAAAAGACACAAAAAGTAGATGCAAAAATAAAAAGTTTTAAGTTTGTGTTATAGAATTACAAAAGAAGGGATTTAAAAGATCAGTTTATTTAAATTTTTATTTAATGATGAACGTTAAATTTCGACCTTGTAATATTTTATTTTTCTTTTTCCAACCCCAATTTTAATAAAATCATATAAAAATAGAAAAAAATATTTCTTTAAAAAATATGTGAAAGAGGTCAAAGACCAAAAAAGTTTGTCTAAATTGAGCCTTTTAACATAGAAATGCATCTCCCTCTTCTTCGTATCATATTTTAGTTCAATATTTTAATTTTGGGTGCTCTAGTCAATATCCACTTTTAATTTCCAAAAAACACAGTTAAAGGTAGCTATTATTCATGTCAATTTTATGGTACCTCAATTAATATTAATTTTTCATTAATATTTTTTTTCCCTTTCATTAAGAGCTCATATTTTTTCTTTCTTGATTATTTGAATCCACAATCTTATATATTTGAAAATAAAAGGTGTTTATAATTTAAGCAATTTTCTTTTTTTTTTTGAGACATGACGGATACAAAATACATTTCAAAATATATGTATCATATTAGAAATAATGTAAAAAATTAGCGTCTCCACATGAAATAATGCTAACAGTATTTAAGTAATTATTAGCTTTACATTATTCAATAAAATTAATTAAATAGATTGAGCTACAAATTACAAATAATCGATTAAATTGTGAACACGTGAAATTGATTATGGAAAAACTAAGAGTTAAAGCACCGATAGTAAGTTATCAATGGGACAAGTAAAGGCAATTGATAATGACAAATATAAGATTGTTGATAATTATGTATATAATTATTACTAGTCATTCTTATAATAACATGACTCAGTACGTTTATATGATGATCATTATAATTATGATTTATTAGTTTATAATTTTTCTTAATGTGATTTCATTATTGTTTTTATTGAATATTTCAGAGTTATTACTTATTCATATTTTATGTTATTTTTTGAGAAACACTTTAAATAATTATGTCTTATTAAGACTACAGAAATATTTAAAGCACACTCAAAAAATGTTTGTACGAAGATTTTATTTAAAAAATAAGAAAAATTGAGGTTAAAAAATTGACTATTGTTGATTTAGGTTGATTTGATTTATAGAATTAAAAATACTCATACAACTAGCTTGATTTGATATTTTAAAACTCAAATCGATCAACACGGTATGACACATGTACCTCTAATTACAAAAAATATATCAAATTTTTAAAAAATTCATTTTTTATGTTATTCCTATCCTACCACCACCTCGTACCCAGACCATTTCCGTCAATCTTTTTAATGATGGATTTGTTGGAAATTGATTTGAGATTGAGAAAATCGAGGCTAAAAACTTGATGTGTGTGCGGAAAAATTATAGATCATCCATTTTAATGGAGAGTCCCTTCAGTAAAGTTTCAATCTTTCGAGAGGTTGAGGAAAAGTTCGAGTTTGAGTTTGACTTGAGGGAGATATTTATTTTAAATAAAACACTAATTTTGAAATTTAAATGTAAAGATAATTAATCAATCCTAGTTTTGATATTAATTGTATCTTCAATAATATATGATATAAAATATTAAAAGTGATAATAAAAATAATATACGTCTAAAAATTGTATATTATTATTATTATATTTTAATTAATAAATTAAAATTATGAAGAAAAAAATATATTATTTGATATTTATTTATTATTTAAACTTAAAAAAAACAAGAATAAAATTCCTTAAAAGTAATATTGTTGGTAGAAATAAAATGTGTTCAAGAAAAGAAATAGTATAATATATATTAGGAAAAAAAGCACTTTGACTCATTGAAATAACAATTAATTATTTCTTTTTGACCAAACTAATACGCATAGGATTATTTTTGACGATTTTTTTTTATAAAAAAACAAATAATGCATTTATCGCAACTTAATTGTTCTTTCAGTTCTTACACATAGAAAGAAACTCCATTTTTTCTCTCTGCCAATTTTTCATTCCTTCTCTATTCTTCAATAGTTGATGTAGTGTTTTTTTGATTCTTGTGGTTTTTTTTAGTGCAGAAAGTTCCGTCACTTTACCGATCATCTGATTCTCAGGTATCTTTGATCGACCCATTAATTTTCTTGATTTTTTTTGGGGATTTGGGTAGTTTTCTGTTTGGGTATTTGGGATCTGCAATTCAATGGAGTTGAGATACTAGGCGTATATGTTCTTGTATTACTGACTATTTTGATATCTCTACTAAATTGTGGAAATTTTATGTGTTGATTACAATTCGGTACTTGTTGAAATTAATGTTTTATCAGCATAATAATGTTTTTGCTATATAAGGTGTGAGTAATCCAGTTTTCAGTTGTTACAGAATGAAGAATGTTGAACCTGAATTGTTGTTTGTGTAATTAAGACCTTAAGGGGGTTGTTTGGTATGGGGGATGGGATTATATGAGATAACTTGTTCCCATTGTTGTGATACAAGTGGTGAGATAAATTATCCTGTGACTAGATTATACTCATATACTATCCAAAAGCATGATAAAGTAATCCTGCGTAAGGATGACAGCATTAGAACTAAAACTGAACCTTCATAGGTAAGGCTGTAGAAGCACCAAAGAAGCAATAAAGCTTGCTTTGAAACTAAAAATCAATTCTTGTAGATAAGTTTCTACTTAATAAGAACAGTAGAAGAGTAGTTTGTAGACTGAAAATCTAGTTCTTACCTACTAATAGAACAAGCTTGTTCTTGCATCGTTTTAGCGTAATTTTTGTTACTGTGAAAGCCTGCAGCTCGATATAGCAGATGCTTTACCAATTGAGTCTTTTAGCTTCTGCTCGACTTGTGATTGCTGTGAACTGTTTCTATACGCCACTGAAATTACTATCTTAGAGCATCAGAAGTTATATAACCAATTTAGTTATCTTATATTTTCACTTCTCTCCAGTGATATTATGCTTTAACCTTTTCAAGATATCAACTATTTAAAATTTAATTCTTTGACAGAATTTCCTTACTAGTGCATTAAAGGCCTTGGTTTGTCATAATTGGCCAA